CAAAACTGCAGGGAATGGAACTGATGAAAAGCTGGAGCCCACTGAGCCCAGCCACCAGGGTGAGGCTGAGACCCGGGTAGGGGTGCATGGCCAACCCCCCTCCTTTCCATCCCATCTCCCCCACTATGCTTGGCCTGTGATTGGGGGAGGAGTGAAGGCAGAGGGAGGGAGGATCCCAGCCAGGAGAATGAGCATCTCTCTCTCTCTCTCTCTCTCTCTCTCTCTCTCTCTCTCTCTCTCTCTCTCTCTCTCTCTCCTGGAAGCTCAGAGGTTGGGACATGGTGGCATGTGACGAGGCAGAAAAGCTCAGGTGGGACCACGAAGCAGGAGCTGGGTGTTTTATAGCCCCCATGCCCCCGAGGTGGCACACACACGATGCATTTGTTACGTCTGATGGAAAGCCCCGGGCCCTCCCTGAACAGTCTCTATAAATAATCCCGAAGAGAGGCTTTGAAAGATGGCCCGCGCTGGCTCTGCACCTCCAGGCAGGATGGCGCGTCCACGGAGATGACAATAATCTACCGATATCATAGATTTTTTCATAAATTATGGGACCGCACGTCTGTATTTTAATTCAGCGAGGTTGAAGCATTCCCTGAGATCTAATATAGGAAGCTGTAGATCTAATTCTCTTGAAGTCCCTTCAAAATTTATTTCCCAGCTCCATGCATTCAGCGCGTATATTTTTGCTTAGGCTGGCAGATGCGGGTTTTAATATTCCTGCATCGCCGCGGAGAAAAGGTGGCGCTGAGGGATGGAGAGACGCTGTCAAGTTCGTATGGAAACGATAGCTGGGGTCAAGGGTTAAGGTGCGGGCTCTGCTCTGGGGCTCCATCTACCATGTAATATGGTGTTTTACTGATAGGAGGCAAGTCATGGCAGTGATGGGCTGCAGCTGCTTACAGCAGATCGGTGCTTGTGACGGTCAAGGTCAACAATGGTAACACAGGTCCTAAAAGGAGGCTGGGGGCAGGAGGGAGCCTGGGAAGTTTGGAAGGAGTGAGAGATGTGTGTGCGATTGTGTGTGTGTGTGTGTGTGTGTGTGTGTGCATGCTATCACTGCTTCAAGCAATGATTCTCACACGTGACGGCCTGTCAGACCCACGTGGAAAGGCTTAAAGACCGCCCACTTACCATGCTGTCCCTCGGGATTCTGAGATGAGGTCCAGGCTCCCTCCTGCCCTCAGCCTCCTCTCCTGGCCTCCATATAGGACCTGCATTAGCATTGTTGACCTTGATGGACCTCATCCTGGTCTTTGCTGATGGACCTCATCCTGGTCTGATGGCTGGTCATGTTGGCGCACCAGCTCCCCAAGAGGAGGGGTGAGGCTGGGAGTGGGTGTGAGGGCCCACCTGTTAGGAGGGGATGGGAGGGGCATTCAGGGGCAGCCAGCACTGTGGAACTGTGTGGGTACACATGCACTTGCTTCATGTGTGATTCATGGGTGCTGATTTCTCAGTCCTCTCTCTGTGAACACCATCAGCGTGCACCTGCGTCCCCTAAACCAGCACAGCTCCACACTCACAAGAGGTAAAGACATCCTGGACAAACTATCAGGTCCATTGAGTGCCACGTGGGAAACCTGACCAAATTCCTCTGAAGATTCTTCTATTCTTTCCGAGTCTCCTCCAGGTGCCGGCTACATCACCTGTTTCAGAGTGCTCGGCGGCCATGACAGAGCCCCACAGGCGGGGTGGCTGAGACCACAGACATGTATTTTCTCACAGCTCTGGAGTGGGGAGCGGGAAGTCTGAACACGGGGTTGGTTTCCCCTGAGGCCTCTCTTCATGGTTTATGGACGGCCGTCTTCTCCCTGAGTCTCTACCTGGTCTTCCCTCTGCAATGGGTCTGTGCCTAGGTTTTCTCTCCTAAGGACACCAGAGCTACAAGATTAGGTCCAACCTCAGGACCTCTTGTTACCTTAGTCACCTCTTTCAAGGCCCTATCTCCAAGGACAGTCCCATTCTGAGATCCTGGGGCTTAGGGCCTGCCACACCTTAGTGATATTGTGGGCTGGGTTCCAGGCAAATAGCACCATAAAATGAATCACACTAGTATTTTGGTTTCCCAGTGCATCTAAAAGTTATATTTATACTACACTAGCCTACGAAGTGTGCAATAACATTATGCCTAAGAAAACCATGGATCTACCTTAATGAAAAATATTTCTTGGTAAGAAATGCTGACCATCATCCGAGCCTTCAGTGAATCCTAATTTTTTTTTAAAAATCTTTATTATTCATATTATTACAGATGTTCCTCTTTTTCCCCCCCCTCCGTTGTTCCCCTCCACCAGGTTCCCACCCCACCCTCTGCCCTTTCCCCACCCATCATTGTCATCCATAGGTGCACAGTTTATGTTCAGTCTCTTCCCACATCCCCCACTCCCCTTTTCCCCGAGAATCGTCAGTTCACTCCCCTTCCATACCTCTGATTCTATTATATTCACCAGTTAATATTGCTCATCAGATTTAAAAAAAAAATTTTTTTTAGATTCACTTGTTGATAGTTACATATTTGTTGTTCATGGTTTTTATCTTTATTTACTTTCTCTTCCAAAAGAACCCCTTTCAGCAATTCATATAATTCTGGTTTGGTGGTGATGAACTCCTTTAGCTTTTTTTTATTTATTGGTGAAGCTCTTTATCTGGGCTTTGATTCTGAGTGATAGCTTTGCTGGGTAGATTATTTTTGGCTGTAGGTTCTTACTATTCATCACCTTGAATATTTCTTGCTATTCCCATCTGGCACGCATGGTTTCTGTTGAGAAATCAGCTGACAATCGTATAGGTGCTCCTTTATAGGTAACTACCTGCTTTGCTCTTGCTGCTTTTAATATTCTCTCTTTGTCTTTTGTTCTTGGAATTTTAATTATGATGTGTCTTGGTGTGGTCTTCTTTGGATTCCTTTTGTTTGGAGTTCTGTGTGCTTCCTGGACTTGTAAGTCTAATTCTTTCACCAGGTGGGGGAAGTTTTCTGTCACTATTTCTTTCAGTATGTTTTCGATATCTTGCTCTCTTTCATCTTTTGGGACCCCCATAATTTTGATGTTGGTTCGCTTGAAGTTGTCCCAGAGTTTTTTTTACATTATCTTCAACTTTCTGGATTCTCTTGCCTTCTTGCTTCTGCGGAGGAGTGTTTTCTGGCTCTTTATGTTCCAAATCTTTGACTTGATTCTTGTGATCTCCCATTCTGTTTTTAGGACTCTGTATAATATGTTTTATTTCAGACAATGTATTCTTTATTTCTTGTTGATCCCTTATTATTTCTAGTTGATCCCTTTTCATATCCTTATAGGTCTCGTTTATTTTATCTGCCTTTTCTAGGAAATTCTTGAACCTTATAATGTGGGTTTGAACTCTATATCCAGTCGCTTTTTGTCCTCCATTTCTTTCGTTTGTGATCTATTTTGTTGTCTCGGCATTTTTGCAGCTTCCCTGATGGGGCGGAGTTTCAGGGTGGAGCCTACAGCCTTGGCATCCGTCAGCCCTGCCCTATGTGGCTCCTGAGTCTCAGTATTCCTCAGGGTTCTTCAGTACTTGCTGCAAGCACTCTGAGAGGTGCCCTTGAGATTTGCCTGCTACCAAGCAGTCTAGTCTCTCCCCCAATGGGCCTGGAACTGGGGTTCAGTTCAGTTGGAAGTGGGATTGGAGGTGGCATTCAGAGCAGTGTGGAGTTTTTGTCTCCTTCCCGCCAGGGCAATCCCGCGGCACAGCCAACTGTCCCTTCTCTCGCGCAAAGTGCGCACCTCCGGGGGCTCTGCCTTTCGCCGCTCTCTGGGGTTCTGCCTCACAGCCCAGCTCCCTATGGATGAGCTTGGGTCCCCGGGGTCTGGCCTAGAACTGGGGTTCAGCACAGTCAGAGCTTTTATCTCCTTCCCCCTAGGGAACGCCAGCCAGGCACTCAGCCACCCCTCCTCTCTGGTTCCATCCTCTCCACGTGTGCCCCGTGTCTCCGTACCTTAGGCTTTTACAGCTCCTCTGCTCTTCCTTCTGGTTTTCTCCTTGCCTCTTGTTGTAGAATTTCCAGTCAGTCGACATTCCTGTAGTTCTGGGTAATGTCCATTTTATATTTTAGTTGTATTTTATTGAAATTGTTGTGTGCGGCTGTGGTTAGGTGTTTACCTGTGCAGCCATCGTGGATCCTCCTCCCGAATCCGAATGTTTTTGCTGACGGAGGGTCTTGCCTTTATGTTGATCAAAACACAATGTCTGGCCAAAACTGGTTTGGCTCAGTGGATAGAGCATCGGTCTGCGGACTGGAAGTTTCCAGGTTCAATTTCGGTCAAAGGCATGTACATTGGTTGCGGGCACATCCCCAGTAGGGGGTGTGCAGAAGGCAGCTGGTCGATGTTTCTCTCTCATCATAAAGGCAGCTGGTCAATGTTTCTCATCGTTTCTAGCTCTCTATCCCTCTCCCTTCCTCTCTGTAAGAAATCAATAAAATATATTTAAAAATAAACAAATAAACAAATACACAACGTCTGTGAAGCACAATAAAATGAAGTTTGCTTGTGTATGAATTTGGGGGGGATACAGTTCATCCACCCTCTCTTCCATATCCTTTCTAGCCTCCCCTCATTTCGTCCCAAACAATGGGACACTCTACTCAGCCCAGCCACAGCCCAGCGTGGGCACCTCCCATCCTGTCCCAACCCCTGGGAACTCCTTAGCCGCTCACTGCTCCCCTTGCGTTAAAGAACAGTCTCTGTACCTCCCTCTGACTTTGACTTTTAAAGAAAACCTCCTTTGCTTCTCTCCCTGACAGAATGGGGAGCCCTGACCCGGGGTGTGCTCCTTCTTCCCTCCACAAGGTGGCCCTGTGTGCTCTCAGATGCCTGCCAGCTGCTCCGCCAGGTGAATGCCTCTCATTGGCTCAGGGAGGCATGATGCCACGGGCAGCCCTTTTTAAGAGGAAAGCCAGGCTGGCGGAGCAGCGAGCCTCCCTGAGCAGTTCCCGTGCTGAGCTGAGCGGCAGGACCGAGCTGTGCTGAAGCATCATGAGCGAGGTGAGTGGTGCTTCCCCTGGGAAAGGGGAACTTGGGGAGCTGGGTGGGGAGTGGGGGGTGGAATGAGGGGACCGGGGAAGAAGGGACCTCAGTTATCTCTGAAAACGTGAGAGCCAGCCCTGTGACTACAGGCTTTGGAGACCAGCCGTGTGGATGGCTTGCTGTGCGGGGCAAGCGCAGGGACCGGCTAAGTTTGCAACTTTTAAAAAATTCGCCTTAAAAAGAGAAAAGGACGCATTGTTGGCTTCCCATTGGACTGTGAGTCTGGAGAGCGCTCTGGGGCTGAGCCCTCCGCAGAGGAAGCCCATGGCTGGGGTCGCTCAGGAAGATCTGTGTTACTTCCCCAGGTGTTTGCTCAGGGGACAGCGTTCGGGCAGGCGGCTGGGGCGCCGGCTTCTGGGGGGCTGTGTGGGGTGTGGGGAAGGGGTGAGCTGCTCGGTGCTGCGGGGAAGTGGGGGCTGTGCAGCCAGCATCTGCAGCTCCTCGGAGTCCCGGGAAGGAGCCCCGCGGACAGACGAGCCGTGAACAGGGCGCGTGTCCAGGTGTGTGGCTCTGAGACGGGGATGCCAGGCGGAAGAGGGACCATTGTAAATGGAAGGTCACGTCTCTGGACACGTCTGCACGGAATCGGTGTTGCTGGGCTCATTTTACTCTTTAGAAGACCACATTCTTTCTCTCCCGCCAAGGGGGCGGACCTGGGTCATGCGACACCCCCTCTAAGGGGACTCTGCGACCAAGACGGTCCGTGCTCACTTCCTTTCGGTTGGCGCTCAGACAATGGCTTTGTGAGATCTTTCATCTTCTCTGTCTCTTTCTTCTTTTGACAGATGGGTGATCCTTTTTAGGAAGTCTGGAGTAAAATTAACAGCTTCAGAAATAAAATGTGTCTCCGCCCGCTTTTCTCTCTCTGACGGGTGGATGGGATGTAAACATGACAGGAAGGAAGGAGCGAGCGGCTCAGCCTGAGGAGATGTGGGAACGGGGTCTGGGATGGCACCGAGGGCTTGTGGGAGGAGGAGGAGGGGGAGGGGAGCACGGGGAGAGGAGGGAGAGGTGGACACCCTTCCAACAACAACAGTAGTAACCACGGCAGCAGCTCCCAGTGGCCCCGCGGCCTCAGAGCCCCGCTGGGCGTCCAGCTCTCACTCCTGTTACCTTATTTGAGCCTCCCAACAGCTCTGGGAGGCAGGTGCTCGTGTGAGTCCCACTTCACAGATGAGGAAACCGAGGCGTGGAAAAGTTCAAGTAGCAGGCGCAAGGTCAAGTAGCAGGCGCAAGACAGACCCAGGACATGGGCTGCAATGCTGGGCAGCTGGCCGCCAGGTGGATGGCCAAGTGCATGAGGGAGTCTCTGGACAGCAGGTGCCAGAGGAGAGAAAGGAGGAGGAGAGGAGGAGGAGGAGGAGGGTGGGAGCTGGGGAAAAGGCGATGGGGCTCGAAGCAGACACAGAGCTGTGAGACCCAGTCCCCCGTCTCTTGCATGCTTGGGTGGAGGGGCTTTCTGCTAGACTCCCTGGAGACTCCAGAAGCTTCTCTATTTGTGTCGGCTCACCTTGCCTGCAACAAGAGGGGATGCCGTGTGCAGTGGGTGTTTATGTACAATTTCCCGGTTTCATACAGAAGGAGGACTTGGAGGCGGCAGAGGCCCGGGGGTCCCTTTCTTTGATCAGGTCAGGGGCCAGGAACCCTCCCGACAGCAGGCCTCCCGCCAGTTCTGCTCACCGGCGCAGTCACCACCTTCCTGTCCCGCGTTGTACCTAGGAGGGGCTGGCTCTCTTACGGTGGGTCCCCTGGGAGAGAGCCAGTGTCCCAGACCTCACCCCACCACTGGAGTCACAGCCTCCTTTCTGCTGTGTGAACTGAGTGCAGCCCTGCCCCTCCCGCGTTTCATCAGAGGAGCTGGCAGGCGACTGTGAGGACCCTGCCTCCGCTCCTTTAATGTTGACAACACCCCACCGCCTCCCTTTGCTGCCCATTCACCCTTCCTTCACTCCTGCACCTCCTCCGCTGGCCCCCAGCCCGGCCCTCGCTCTCTGGCCTGTCTCCCAGTTTCTGGGGGGTGGGGGTGCTCTTCAGAGAGCCGGAATGTGTCCTTGGACTAAGACTTCAATCTGTTTAAAGCATTTAATAAAGCTGAGCAGAAGCTCTTTCTGGGGAGGGAGCCGGATCCCCCGTTCCCCCCCAAGCTTTTCTTCTGGAAGGAATTACACGGGGCTTCTAGATTTTATAACTCTCAGGCAGGGATGGATTTCAGATGATTCTTGACTTACACTTGTGCCTCATGACTGCGAGGGACAAGGCACAGGATTTTGCCCGCCACCCTCTGAGTCCTGGGCTTATTGGGGTGTGCTGGGCAATGGATCCTGTGCCAGCTGTCAAGGTACGGTGCCAGCTGCAGAGTCCCTGAGCTCCCATGAGCCCCCTGGGCAGAGAGACCCTCCAAGGGCCACATGATTCCCCCCGAGGGGGGGGGTGTGGGACGCAGCTCTGCTCCTCCTGGTCTTCCCATCTTTAAGGGAAGGCAGGCAGGGAAACTGAGTGTGGAGCAGGCTTTAGGCTGGATGACTGCACCGCACCATGTCTTCTGCACCCCCCGTGACATCACTTTTCTGGGGAGGGGGGATGACAGGTGATTGAAGAGAGCAGCTCAAGTAGAGCGAGCAAAGTCAAGTCCAAAGTTAGGGCAACGCGAGGGAGCGGGGGTGGCTCTGGGGGCGTCTGATTTACATCTCGGCGCTGGCGGCTGTCAGATGCGCCTGCAGCAGCTCTGAGCTGAGCCGGGAGAGGATTTCGTAGGGATCACAACGCAGGCTCAGGGCAGGAGCCGGATCAGAAAGCCTGGCCGCGGAGTGCAACCCACACAGCGTCCTCCTCTCCCCGCCGGACTCCCGGGCCCGGGAGGAGGAAAGCCCACTGTGTGCGGCCACCTCGCACGATTGGAAGACAAGAGTCCCACCAACAATGACCCCGAGTCTCTCGTTGTCTTCGGGCAGGGGTCTCTTCTCAAGTTGCTTTGCAAAGGAAGTTACTGAGGAGCGCCAGCGGCGAGATGTCACTGCATCCGGGGGCACATTCCGCCAGTTCATTTCCTAACGAGGCAGCACTGCCCTGGGGGTGAGGGAGGGGGGCTCTGGCTGCCCCGGGCATCGCTGACAGCTATTAATTAGAGTGGAGGCTCCTTGGGAGAGCAGCCTCCTCGTCCTCCTCTTCCCCCTCTCAGCCGCCTTTCTCTCACCGTGTGGATGGGATGCCAGGCTCTTGGCCATTTCTTCCAGCCAGACAGCGGCCGCAGGAGAGGCCTGTGCCTGTCAGAGGCGTGGTCTGAACACTCCAAGGACATGTAAGGGCACATCTTCAGACCCACACGTCTGTCCTTAGCACGGCGTCAGAAGCTACTGCTTATGCGTGAAATGGCTGCGGAAAGCAGAAGGCAATGCCCGTCATTGTGCTGGGCCAGCAGGGGTGGCTGGCCCACTTCAGTCCTGGGGCCCCGGCGGGGGGTGGGGGGGCACAGGAAAGACACAATTTTCCCTTCATCCAAAGTAGCTATTGGTTAAAAAAAAAAAAAATCACGTGACACTAGTCTGGGGGCTTATGTAGTTAGCCATCAGGGCAACTGGCCGGTGAGACACACAGTAAGGCAAAACATCTAGAATTCTCATCTAGAATGAGAACTGGTATGGGTGTGTGCCCCTTACGGTGTGATAGGGAGCTAAACACAGGCGGATGGCGGGATGGTTAGGTCTGCAAGGAACGGTGTATCTCTGGCCAGTTAAGCACAGATCCTGAGAGTAAACAGCAAAAGATGTGGATTTTGCCACTGGCTCCCAAGGCCCGGCGACAGAGGTCAAATGACAAGTCAATGTCTCGGGTAGCTTTAACCTTCTGGGGGTGTGATGCAGGAAAGATAGGGGAAGATCTCTAACACACAGTGATAGAGACTCTCTCTCCTGTACCCTGAGATATTGAGTCTAAAAAGACACCCATTACGACGTGGGTTCGACATCTGATTTTTCCTTACGGAGAAGAGGCCGCAGTTAAACATGCAAATGTGTCTGCGGGGCTGATGCACACGGGTGCCACACGGTTCGTTCCTCGCATCCTGCATGTCATTAAAAAATGCCGTGGGACTAAGAATGCTCATTGTTTTTCTTCTCGGAATTCTAAGAGTGCAAGATGTACTGTGCATGTGTGTTCCCCCCCGAAAAGAGGGAGTACATGAGTTACAGCTGATTTTATTAAAGGTTCGGTGGAATCGTGTGATTGTGATGACAAGGGGACGGGGGCTTTGTGATGGAAAATGCCTTGAATTCATGATGAGCAGACTCCGCGTTATTTTGAGAAATTCTCATCTCTGCTTTCAGGCTTTCTTCGAGGTGCTGTCCTCGGTGGAGGGCCTTCGCCATCTGTCTGTGGCCCCGTGCTCCGTGCCCCATCCATGGGGTACGCCTCGTTCTTTGATCCCATGAATAATGTGAGCCTAGCCTGGGGCTTTCTCATTACCTTAGAATGACATTCTGGAAAGGGCTTCCCACTGAGGGGAAAGAAGGATCTTAGGGGATGCATATGCACAGGTTTTTATTGTATTTGAAGAAAACACAGCATTAAAGATTACGCTGCTAGAGCATTGGCTTTCTTCTGTCCCGGCTGCTGTAACAAAACACCACAGCTGGGTCATTTATAAACAGTAGAAAGTAATTGCTCACAGTTCTGGGGGCTGGAAGTCCAAGATCAGGGTGCAACATGGGTGGGTGAGGACCCTGTTCTGGGTCACGGACTCCTCTCGGTGTCCTCACTTGGTGGAAGGGGTGAGGGAGCTCTGTGGATCTCCTTTATAAGGGCACTGATTCCATTCACGAGGGCCCCACCCTCACTGTCTACTCAGCTCCCAAAGGCCTCACTCCTTTGGGTGTTAGGGTTTTACCATTCGAATTTTGGAAAAACATAAACAGTCAGTCCATAGCAAGTATTATGGGTTGCATTTTTTTTTTTTTTTTAAA